CAGGCTCAAACATAGCAACGATTGTGAGGATGGCGCAAGACCTGGCAGTGTTTCGTTCTGTTGTACATGGGGTTGCTATGACAGTTGCCTATTTTCTTTCACATTTGAAGATGAATGAGACCATTTTAGCTGAATGATCTGAAATGTGGGCCCATGTTTTATCTCTCTCTGGAGTTCAGAGCCTAGCTGCTGGGGAAATAAAGGCATGGCACTAAAAGTGCTGAACAAAGTATTAATATGGCTCTGTTGGGCAAGAATTCATTCATTAGGCTCCCTTCTTGTTGAAAGGCTTCTGTTTAATCAGTTGTGATTGATAGGGACAAAGTATACTATAAGGTTTTAAGGCTTTGACTTGAGTGTGTAGATGAGGTCTTAGTTTTTAGGGAAATGTATATATTTCTGTGTGTGATGCTCTTAATGTTGGTCAAATGTAACATGTTGTAATATATTAAAATATTTTTTGTACAATATCTTCTCTCTAAGTGGCACACTTGATGAAGTCTTTCCTTGGTGTGTGTTGAAAGTAATCATGTGCTTTTACAAACTGCCATTGCTAAAGGCAAGTACACTTTAAAAATCAACAATGCTATCAATAATTAATAAGTGTACTTCAGGCAACTTACTCGGCATCAAGATTGAGAGGGAATGAGCCACTGGGGAAAATACTCTTTTTATTCTAAAATGAAAGCCACATCTTGAGGACCCAGCATCCAAAAACCTGATTATCTCATAAACAATTCATTCTTGTTTCCAGTAGGCAGGTGGGCAGCAGTAATAGCACCTCAGCCCTTGTTATGAGTAGCAGTAAGTACACCATTCTCAGACCAACTTGGTCAGCAGTCCAAGACCAGGACAGGCAATGCTAAGGTGAATTAGACCAACTGACTCAGATATGGTACTTGTGAAGCTGCAGTGTCCTGATTCTGACGTTGTTCCAACAATAGCCCGTGGCCAGAAGGGGTTCTTCTGGTTATGGAGTGCCAGGGTAGCAAGATGTTCACATTCCAACTCTAAAGCCAGTCAGGCTAACCCACCAAAATAAGTATCTATCTGTGTAGGTAAAACTCCACACTAAAGGAGGTGACAAGTTCCCAGCCAACCACGTGGTCTGAGGACTTTAGAAGACTAGGTGATGGTAGGGAAACAAGGCTGGCTACAAAGAGGGGTCAACATAGGATCCTGGACTTATGGATTGATCCAACACCAGAAAGGCAGGCATCTGGAGGCACAGTGGTCCATGGAGTGCAGAACATGTTCTAGCATCCCGGTTTCCAGTTGTCCATTCCATCCCTGACTCATCAAATGAAGCTGACTGGCCCTGCAAGCTGCTGGGGAGAGCATACAAGTAGGGTGTGCTTTCGCTTTCCACCCTGCTGTTGGTCAGATCCCTTTTCCCTGGCTCTCAGATCACAGGGCTCTACATTCCTGGCTCCAGTGTCCACATCATGCCTGCTGACTTGGACATCAGGCCTTGACATATTGGTCCTCTGCAGATATGCAGTATTCCCTTGGACATGATTCTGTGCTTGACCTCTGATTATAAACACTCCTTCATGAAGGACTTGACCCACCACCCTTTCCCCGTTCCATCCCAGATGTATAGCGACACTGAATGCCCTCTCCAGGAGACAGACCTTGAAGACAGTGAAGGAGACACAAGGCACAGCATGAGTCCTCAA